TCTGCTGTGATATCTTGATATAATGATATTTTGTTTCCTGATAGTAACTATTGCTTCCCACCGATCTCGTTTTTAGTTTATGCTTGCTCGTTTCATGATCGCATTCGTCTTTCAAACTTTAGTGCTCATCCACGGCCTTCGGTTACTGGTACTTAAAAAATCGGTCGCGCCTGGACTCAAAGCTCAGACACCCACCCTTTTCGTCCCAAGCAATCGTGAGATATCCTCCTCCCCATCCTCAAAAGAGGTCATTTCCCACGTCCCGTGCACCGGCTGTCTAGCGTAGACACTGCGAGTCACCACACCGTACAGCTGAGCAGGATTCACAGCTTACACACCAGGGATGCTGCGTGCCGATACTAACCACCGAGATTTGACTCCTTTTGCTCCTGCAAACGGAGGGAGTTTTACAGGTTTTCCCGGTATTTACACGCCATCATGCAGCCTCTCTGCGGCACAGCGTGCTGGCGCCAAGCAGCCTCAGCTGCGGGTGGCAGTCGAGCTGGCGCCTACACGTCGAACGTCAGTGCCGTCATACGGTTCACCACGTCATGTGTTTTGCAGTTACGCGCTCACTTGTACCTCGTGACTTACCTCGTGCAAATCAATCACAAAAACACTCTTTTGCACTTCCAAGTTTGCATACAATGCTGTGCTTGACTATAAGTTGCAAAGTGCGGATAGAAGTTGCTGTATGCGATCCATTAATGTGAGTACAGGTGATGGCTCTTGCCTCTTTCTTTGATAAAAAAAGATGCTTCTTCGGATGAAACCTACTAACATAAGTACAAAATATACAATGGGGCATTTGTTCTAGCTCCGAGCAAATTTGAAGTTCACATCACCATAGGGCTTCCTTAAAAATGCTCAAAACAGCAAAAAATGCTTTTAAAGAGATATAGCCTTTGACCAATAACCTGTAACACTTCAGTATAATATACGAAACAGCGAACCTTAAGGCAAACATGCAAATACTTGAGGCAAACACGCAATGTTGCCAACCCACCGATTTTTGCACTGGCTTGACCTGCAATAAAAGGCATGAGTTTTTGAAAGACGCAGATGACGCATAACTGGCGTCTGCGTATTTGAGTATGTGTCACGGGTGTTATCATCACCCTGAATACACCAGTCTCTTGGCAATGTCCCTAATGCTGATGCTGCTGTTGATGTGTTCTCATCTTCCGGCCAGGAAACCACAAGACAGTTTAAAAAGACCGTGTGTGTGGAACAGTTTGGTATCCTTTTTTGTCAACTAATGTCATAATGCGAACGCTCATCTATCCCGACGCGGGAGACTGCCCCTGCCTTCCTTTGTCCCCACGCCACTGTTTCTGGCGTTTCAGAACCCTCGAAGCGAGCTTGTTTCTGGCTCGGAGCCATATCCGACACCATCATGTCACCACTCACAAGCAAATGAGCGGAGGGCAAACGTTTGCCGGGGAGATATCTCGGAAAACCAGCCCTTCGCAATTTCCCGGATGATATTTTATTCAGTGCCCCGGGCCAAACCTCTCTTCAGCCAATTTAATCCGAGATTGGAGTGTATCTTTTCACAGTTACTGATGCCTGCATTTGTCGCCGGCCGCAGCAACTGTGCCAGATCCGCGTTACATGTAATTGGGCAATTTTCTGCCCACTCTCCTCACCACACATGCTCGCCACCCGTCAGCCAATGGCCGACGAGCCGCTCGCCGACAGGCCAATCAGCGCGGCGGCCGGCGTCAGGCTCCGCCCCCCGAAGATGGAGCGTCGGCTGGGTCTGTAGCGGCGCCGCGGGAGATTTTATCGCAGTAATTGTCCGTCGTTTACGCCGATTAGGCGGTGAGCAGGTGCTGCGCGTGCGACACTGCACCCGAAGTACAGCCGCAGGCGCAGGCGACCGCACGCGAGGACCGTCCCTGCCGCGCCCAGCCACTCCTCGCGTCGGCGAGTCACCATGAGCGGCGAGCCCGAGCCACCGACCCCGCCAGCGGCGGCGGCGGCCGGCGGCGATGCCGAGCCGGAGCGGGCGGCGGCCGGCTCGCCGATCGACCTGAGCCGCCTGCCAGAGCCGACCGAGCGCGGGCCGACCCCGCCCGAGGCGCAGCGGCTGCTGGAGGCGCGCCTCCTCGAGCAGAGCCGACGGCTGGCCGGCGCGCCGGCCGACCCGTTCCTCGGCCTCGCCGTCTCGCCGCTGCACAACAACAACAGCAAGACATCCTTCTACATCCGCGACATTCTGGACGGCCGCAAGTTCACCGGCCGGCGGGAGTTCCTGGACACGAGCAGCCCGGAGCTGAGTGACACGCAGTCCACAGGTGAGCTGGCGCTGGTCCACACTCCGCATCATGCGCGTCCACACGACTGAGCGCGCCAGGCAGACCTTGTCCACAGTGGAGACCCAGGCGGGTCGGCCTGTCTACACCGTTTCTGCCAACGTGCGAGAGTGCTTATAAACGTGTTCAACAAATATGGGCTGATTTCTGTTCGAGTGTACAGGTTTACATTGCCCAAGCCGAGGTGTGCACGAAGTAAGCGTTTGCACATGTATCAGTCTACGGATTCTGCGCTCAGTCTACAGTAGGTTGTGTTCTCAAGTCTACATATTCTGTACTTACTCTAGCTGTTCTCAGTCTACAGACTATGTTCTCAGTCTTCAGATTCCATTCTCAGTCTACTGTCCTCAGTCTACAGATAATGCTCTCAGTCTACTGTCCTCAGTCTACAGATAATGCTCTCAGTCTAGAACAGTCATGTCCTCTGGGCGCTGTCCGTCAGTCTGCAGATTAGATTGTGCACACTGGCAATCCCGCAGTTTCATGTTAAACCTGTCCACAGTGCGCGCCAATCCTCTGCAAAGTCCTGCCAGAACAAGTCGAGTTCTTGGTATAGAGCAGTCCTCAGTGCAAATGTTCGCTCCAACCATCGGTAGACCTCAAGTAAAATTACAAATACCCGCAGCGTCGCCGGAGTTCGTAGCAGCGAGCGATTTTGTCACAGTCACTTTCCGTCGCTTACGCCGCTTAACAGACGAGCAGGTGCCATGCACGCGACAACGCGCCCATGCCGCCAGCCGAGCGCGGCGATCGCACGCGATCGCACCTGGCGGCAGGCATTTTACGCGCCCGACGGACGGACATTTTCCCATGCGAGCGGCGCCGATCCGTTTTCCATGTGAGATGTGAGATGTGAGATATGAGATGTGAGATGTGGCGTGTGAGATGCGCTGGGTCATAAAACGCAGCGAATACCCAGACGGGCGTAATGGTACGCTATGAGACCAGGGCTGATGACATACGAGTCAGTGGCTCAACAAGCTCACTGACCAAAGTTTAGCCTTTGTAATGGACAGGATCGTTGCCCGAGCAGCCGGGCCGGAATCGCCGAATACTGAATGGTCTGCGATAAGAGCACACGCACTCGCATACACACGTACGGTCCGCGAACACACGCGCACACGCTCAGCATGGAGTATTCGCCGAGCGAGAATTGTTTTCGTGTTGGAGCCAGTTATCTATGCTGGGCAGCCTATGGCCTTGTCCGCCTGTTAACGTCTGAATCAATCAAGTGAGCGAAGTGATCGCGTCTTGCATCACGTTTTCCTTTGGCTCAGAGACTTGCCAGCCGGGTGCAAACAGTTTAAAGCTGAGGGTTATTTTAAGGAGGAATGTTCTTGTGATCCTGAAAAGTACAGCTGCCTCCATTTTTGCTCTGAAGACCCCAGCGCGTACATAGAATGCCAACCGTGCATATGTGCAAATTTTTATGGTTTCGCCGCGGTTGATCAGTTTTTGGCACACGTCTTCAGAGCTTTAGAGATGTATACGCAGTACGGAGATTATCCAGACGGTTTATTTCGATGTCTAAAAGCGTTATTCCCCTTGAGTATAAGATGATTCGAATTGTGGTGGCATAATACTGCTCGTTCGGTGCCTTGTCAGCTAGGTAACTCATGCAGCACAGCAGCGGTAACTCATGTTTCAATGCTGTTTTTCAGCTTCCGTTGGGTCAGCCATGTATCTTTGACTTCTGGCATTGTAAAATTGCTTAAGTTATGTATCACGTGAGCAATTTCAACAAACGGATGCCTCAAGCCGCATCATGAGAAAACATAAGCATGTAACGCCCAAGGATGTCTGGGTTTCAGAAAGCATGTTTTGGGCGCTTTCGGAGAACTGGTTGGCACAGTGGTCCATTGTCGCCCCTCACATCCATCCGTCTACAACAAATTCATCACGATCACGTTACACTTAAGAACGGATAGGAGGACTAAGCCAAAAATCACAAGTCAAAAATCAAAATCAAGCCTCCCACGGTAACTTTATATCGGGATGCTAAATGAACTTCAGAATATATTGAGACCACGTAGACCCGTCTCGAGGCTCATGCTGGCGCCGGATGCAGGGGGGACGAACAGGTCATGCCCTCAGCCCGATCGCCCGGGCTTGCAATGGCGTAAAAAGAAGGTTTTAAAGCAGAGATTCTTTGTTTCCTTCTCAGGCATACAGACCGCTTCTCTAAAAAGACCATGGCTGGATCCGCCTCTGTTTCATAGCTCAAACGTAAAAGGGCGCTATTCGGTGTCATGGCTTTTTTCCTGTAGCATATGTCCCATCCGGCCTTCGTCCTTTTGTACACAACGCAAATTTCATTTAACCATGCATCAAACTGGTACCGATGAATCCAGCACCACTAGCGTCTCAATAGAGAGAGGGAAGTATTTGGCTCTCGCTATAAGACCTGATGCATTCGAGCCTTGCTTTTTTGGCCTTTTCTGAACAAGTTTTTAATCGATATGTAAGATGCAGTTTTCAAGGCTGTAAGCAAAGCGGAGATGCAGTTCTGAAGACTGTAAGCAAAGAGGAGAAGCGTTTCTGCGAGGCCGATATGGCTCATGATTCAGGCACTGCGTAGAGGCGACTGCGCTCATGCCGTTACCACTCCTTTGACCCACTTGCTCACCGTAGCTCACCTTTCCAGACACGCTTTGCGACGTCTCGCCGGCCGACGGCGACGGTGACGGCGACGACGCGGACGCAGACAGCGAGGCGCGACCATCGAAGAAGAAGTGCGCGTCCGACTCCAAGGGCGGAAAGCCGCGACGCGCGCGTACCGCCTTCACGTACGAGCAGCTGGTGTCGCTGGAGAACAAGTTCAAGCAGACGCGCTACCTCTCCGTGTGCGAGCGGCTCAACCTGGCGCTCTCCCTCAACCTGACCGAGACGCAGGTGAAGATCTGGTTCCAGAACCGGCGCACCAAGTGGAAGAAGCAGAACCCGGGCGTGGACGTCAACAGCCCGACGGTGGGTCCGTCGCCGCCGTTCCCGCCGTTCTCGTCACCGTCGCTGCTGTACCCGACCGGCGCGCAGCTGCACAGCTTCCCCGGGCTCGGTCTGCCCTGCGTGCTGCCGCACGGGCTCGCTTCCCACCCCTTCTACTCGCACATCAACCGCTGACGCGTCGACTCAGGCGCGCCGTATGACAATGCAGATGCGGCTCCGGGGGCCTTGCGTGGCGCCGGGATTCGGGGGAGGGTGGATTCGCGAGGCAGGCAGTCCACGCGTCTGTTCGCGATCGTTCCGCGGCGTCTATACCAGCGTTTGCACTGGCTTCTTCGTCATGCCGCTCCGCAGTGCGCTCGCGTGTACGCCAGGGTTCGGTCCTCGGTCCGCTGTTTTTTTGTGATTTGGGGAACTGACGCCTCCGTGGCTCTTTTGCTGTTTTGAGAGTGCAATAGCTGCGCACCAGAGCGTGGCGCCGAACTTGGCCCTGTCTATGGCTCCAATCCGGATCAGATCCTCCGGCCATTTCGACAGTCAGAGGAAGGCGTCACGTCACGTTTGCTGTCACGTGCGACCCCTGCTGAGACAGTGAGTGATATGGATGAGGCCTGGGTGTGCCACATATAGTTAGTCTAGTTGTCCATTTTATGTGCATACCTAAGACATCATATAGGACTAAATGATGAGTGTTAAATTTTATATCTGTTGTTACATTGTTTGCATGATGTATCGTGTAAAAATAAATGAATCACGGTGTTGTTCACATATAGCGCGTCTCATGGAATGCGTAACCTAGCAGCTGGTGTGGGCGGGCTTCGTGCTTAACCACAGGTAGCGACAAAGCATTTCACTTTAAAAAAGTGCATTGTGACCTTTGCTACTTTCCACGCAGCATTGAAGAAGATATTTTCCAGTGCTGCAATCAGTGAGGCAAAACTGGAACCCTTGCCTCGCAGAATTGAGTCGTGGAGGGTCTGCACCGTTTGAACGCCATTGTCCGTCACCTTGATCTCCGGCGAGGGCGGAAGCTGTAACGGGCTGTTGCATCACTGAAGTAACATTATTTTTACTAGCTTTACGCAGCAAATGACGTTAGCAGATAGCACAGTCAATGCCAGTCTGAATGAAAAAATGAAAGCAGAACCTAACAGGGGAGGCATAACAAGTTGTAATCACTGTTCCAAAAGCACACGGCTTTCAGAAACTAACCATTCTGTAGTTTGACGGCAGCCATCAGCAGAGCTCCAGGAAGGGATCGCTGGTAGCTGGCCAACACCCACGGGGCCAAAGCACCCGGAACGCGTTGCCACCTCATCACGCGCGCACGCACGACACGTGCGTATATATATATATATATATATATATATATATATATATATGCAGGAACATCGGCCAAGGACGACGTGGGCGATCATTTGTCCTCCTTGTAGCTTTCGTGAGCTCCACCTCGACCGGTCTCGCTCGGTCACCAGGTGCAGCTTGGCTCCCTGAAATGGCGCCATTCAGGGCCCCGACCGAGGTGATCATGCTGCAAAGAGCCGGCTGCCAGCAACAGACTTCGTCTGGTAGACCGTTCGTACGGCGTGGCGTGCCCTGAGGCCTGCAAAAACGCCGTTCACAGAAGGCGACGAAGACTTCGGCGGCCCTGCGCAAGAAACACCCACTGTTTTGGGGGTGATAATGACGGGAAAAAGGCGCTGAGGTGACAGCAGTGCCGAAGACGTCGGCGCGATGAGCGCCACTATCGGCCGTGGGAAGACGTGTCTTAATGAAGCGATTAGCCTGCGTCTCTAGTTGAATGGCGATCAGTCCTGCACGCACATGCCCACGTCCACTGAAGGAGAATGTCTGTTTGTCGCATCAGAGACAAGGATGGAACCACACGCCGATTTCCCTGGATTTTGAGAAAAGTGGGGCTCTATCCCATTTTTGTTTCATATTAGATGTTTTAGTTGAGGTTTGTGGGGAGTCTAAGTAAAAAGAAAGCGAGGAATAGCCTATTTCTAGTGTCCCAATTCTTCGCATTGGCTCCGTTCTCGCATATATGTTTTGCGTAACCTGAACCGCAGACAGACGTGAGATATGTTCATTTTAGTCCATGTATGAACGAATCATTACATGCGCATGGGTTGTTGAGCTGTTCGAGTCATATTGCATACACATTCCAGGAAAAAACACGGAACTTATACGCAACTACAAAGCAAGCAAAACACCACAAACCCTCAGAGTAAATCAGGTATAGTCAAGAAAGCTTGTCAAGATGTGAAACATAGACTGCTTGGATTCAAGAGCCCGCGATGGTTGGTATTTGTGCCCCCAATATTTGCAGATTTCGGCATAACGCCTATGGTGTTGTATAAAAAACACATCTAAACCACCGCAATGCCCCTCTCCAAACATTTGTGTCGTGACGAGCCAAATGAATTCTTGGAATTTTTCGTGAGGATTGCGTCTTAGTTCAGGCGCCCTCGCTGTTTCGGGACCCCAGCGCTTAGCGTGAGTTTGGAGCGCTCGGCTCAGACACAAGTGTGGGACCCTGACCCCTCCAACCGAGCAAAATCCTGCGTCTCTGATCAAAACATCGTGATGTATGATAGTGGTCTCGGCCATGGTGGCCATATACAATAACTCTCGCCTTGCTTGCCTTCCGCACGGGTGAGCGTGCTGGTGACTGTGCTGGATCCACGCTTTTCGTTCTGCGGATGAGGTTGGGGGAGGCTAGTCAACCTGGCTTGCGGGAGGATGGACAACTGCCTCCTCTCTACAGTGCGGCCCCAGTGTGGTGTGACTGAGTCTCTCAGATGGCTCTTGACGAGAACCGACCCAGAGACCAGAGGGCTGGTGCAATTATTATGTAGGGATTGGTGAGGCGACCACGTATATTACATGTAAGTAGTGTGCACGTACGTGGCTGCTTGTTCTTCCATTACATATTGTCCGGTAGGAAGTTGAATAAATGATGATGATGATAAGCCTTGGGCATTGGTGGAGCTTCCCATACGTATGGAAGACTAATCCCTCTCCATGTGTCTAGGCTTTCCGCAGGGCATAGGGACGGTCCGTACAAATCGCAAGGTGCCCCGAATAATTCTATCAGAGTCCCATCTCCGGCCTCGGCAATTGCGGAACTAATGCGCTCCAACTCACAGCCACTATGTCAGGTAGCCTACAGGCGTGGAACGTTAACCTTCCGCACTGTTTTCGAAATATCAGCTGTGTCTAGAATCGAGTGGTGCCTTGGAATCGGATGCTAATAGCAAGTGCGCTCTTATCTGCAGCACTTTCGGAAACTTGTAGCAAGCGAAATGATACTTAGTGAATGAGCGAAGTAGCTGAACAGTGTGCACGAAATATTTCCAGAAGCCTTTGGCATACAATGCATCCGTCTATCGTCTTCTAAGCTAGCAGGATCTACCACACGACTAACTGATGGCATGACTCAATTACATGGCTCCGCTGCACGGCCGAAGCACCGATATATTCGGAGCGGTGTTTTGTCGCATGCCACCGCTTAATCAAGCAAGGGCCGGCATGCCTAAGCAAATGCTAGTTAAGCGTAAGTTAGGCATGATGTTAGTTGATATTTCCTGTCTCAGTGTAAAGCCTTCTGTCATTGTATTCTGTCAACAAATCCGCCGAGTCCAAAATAAATCCACTTACATGGTCTGCCGTTGAGCGTTCAATAATAAAAGAGATGTGTCAAGTTGCACAGAAACGAAATTACATTCTTCTCCCACACACAAACTTCATCGCCGTTTGAAGTTTTAATAGGTGCTGTTTTCAAGCTCATGAAGAGTCAGCGTCCACCTGTATATTTTTAGACGATGCTAAAGGAATAGAGCATGGCGCCCATTTTAGACCCGGTAAGACTGTGGTGTAGGTAACTGTGAAAACTCGGTTTTATATACCTATCCATAAGAAGGCCAAGACTCCAGGCAATTCATCATCATTTCTGTGTTGGGATTCGGTGGTTATCCCAAGAATTCTGACGCTCCTCGTCTGGGAAAATGCGGTGAACGTATTCCTGACAGGTCGTAAGAGCTGCATACATCAGCGACAGAATCTCAGTGAAGAAAATTAGGAACGGAATGAGTTAACATCACTCTGCACTCTTGGCAACAGGGTGACGCAATTAGATAACGGATAGTATTGCGCAGGATTTCAAAAGAATATAGTAGGGTCGAAAATGAAGCGACGAAATTACCAGTTCCAGTGCAACAAAGACTGAAAAACAAAATGCGTTCCGAACTGACAAACAAACGCAATTTAAGAAACCGTACTGACGTGTTTTCAATTGACTTGTATGCCTCGAGTCATTGAGCGCTCAGCTTTCAGGTGATGTGTCTGACCTTTATTTTACGTGGCAATAGGTCCTACAAAACCGTGGTAAGCCTTTATGAGATTGACATACTTTGGGTTGAAAAGTCTAGTCTAAAATATGTAGCGCAATCAGCTGGAATCTAAATGTAATCATCGGCATCTCACGTCAGCCAATAAATCATTGATATAATTAATAGAGTGGACAGCGAGCCAAAGCTGCCAGAGGCTGATGGCGGCATGCGAAAAATCGCACAGTACCCATTTTAGCCATCCGTGAACTTAATTTGAAAGGACTCGAGTTTCTGGCCGGCCCCGTGCGTCTACGATGCGGACGACAAAGACCCCGCTCAGAGGCCGGTGGCCTGCCCGGCTCCCAACTCATGTGCCCTGGATGTCTTGCGACGCCCCGCAGCCGTGGCCACTCCGCCGCCGCGGCCTCAACACCTGGCCCCGGGCGCGCTCTCGCCGGCGGCCGTTGGACCTCTGACCCCGTCGCCAGGTCGGCGCTCTAATGAAGCGGCAGCGCGGCAGAGCGCGCGCGGCGGCCGGGCGGCGCGGCGCATTGATGTCGGCCAATTTGTAGACTGTCCTCCTCTTCCTGCCTCGATGATGTATGGTTGCCGGAGGCACATGCGCCCGCTGATGAGCTCGTTCCGCGCGGCTCTGTCACCCGGCCAAGACTAATTATTTTCATCGCCCAGAAAAACGCCGTCTAATTATCAGAAAAAATGGCGTCGGCCGGCGCCCAGATGGCGGCCCGCCATCAAATCTCCCCCAATAATGGCCTTGCGCCCGACCGAGCCGCGCCACTATTGAATGTCAATTACATCTAACACCCGAGTAATCCCCCGCGATCCCCCGGGAGCGATTTGTTACCCCGAAGCTTGTTATACAGAGTTTGTCCTAATTGAATTTTCGATTTCTTGAGCATCCAAATGACGCACCGGGGGCGCGTTCGGCGCGCTCCGTAACAGGGGGCTGTCGAGCGGATAAAAGGCGCGCGCTGCCGGCGGCCGCCGCCGCCAAAATACGAGCGCCCGTCGGCGGCGACGGGCGTCGGCCGGGGAGTCGGCGATCAGGTGTGCGGTGAAGGCGCGGCCACCGCGCTGGCCAGCGTTGGAGGGGGCTGCAGGGCGGCTCAATGTCAACCCAGGCTTCGCTTTTAGACGTTTTGTAAAATATGGTGATGAAATGCACCAGATCGGCGTAGGAGACTGAGGTCCGGGCGTTACGGTACTCAGGGCTGTGTTTGCTTCTTTTTTTTTGCTGTTTGATTGAGGAAGATGTCGACACTTATTGAGGTTCAAATA